GGCTTCTTTGAGATGAGGAAGAGAGAAAAGGAACGTGAGTTCGTGGAAGGACTCAATAGCCTCCCAGCAGTGACGATTGCCACGAAGACAGGAAACAAGTACCACAGGAAATGGTGCCATCACTTGAAAACTCAAGTTATCGCAGGAAGCCCTGGAGTCAAGGACTACGAACCGTGCTCGGATTGCTTTCCGGAACGGTACACGTACCAGGAAGTAAAGCAGAGACAGAAGTGGTGCTATGGAGTTATGGCAGGATTTGTTCTGCTAACAGGATTTGCACTGGGAAGCCTCGCAACAGTGTGCGGGATGATCGTTGGCCCAGGAAGATACACCTTCGACGTAAAGGAACCGTGGCAGGCCCTTGGCTACAGCGTGGACAAGTACACGGTCAAGGAAGAACTTGCCCTTGGAGATGGTCGATCCTCCAAGGATGGTCAGCGTGGGAGAAGAGTTAGCCAGCAGAGGCGTGAGATAAAGGAACAAGACGAGACAGACAGAAGCGAGTTGATGACGACATGGATGGTTTTCCCAAGAAGCCCCAATACGCAAATGAACTTCAACGTGAACACCGTGAACGTTGCCAACACCACCGCCTACACGATTAAGAACAAGAGTGACTACAAGAGAGAAGGAACCGTGAACGGTGAGAACCAGGAGAGTGAGAGCCTTGAGTCCGGCTACGCCCCTAGGTGCCTAGTAAAAGAAGTCTATCAAGAACTTGCAGTACTGAGAGAGATTTTCCGGAAAGTAGAGGATTGTTTCACGACGTCGTGCATGAAGCAGGAATTGAGATAGTCAAGTTGATTGTGTGTACAGGAACACTTTTAGGACTGGTTACTTGGATCGTCCTATTACGTTTTTCGCATTTGTTCTGCGTAACAGTGCAGAAGAGAAAGAACCTGACGGGCATGAACAAGGTCAGGATCAAAAGACAAAGCGCAGGAACAAGAAGAAGCTACAGAGCGCTATTGCTTATGGTGCTCATCTACAGCAACCTCCAAGCAGCACAAGGAATGGAGGAAGCACTGAAGCAGTTAGCCGAAGTAAGCCAGCAAACATTACAAGGCATACAGACACTAGCAGAGGAGATCAGGAACACAGCGGAAGCAGGAACCCGAAGAGAGGCAGTGCTATCTACAGCATTCCAAAGGACAGTGGCATCAGTACAAGAACAAAGCACAGCATCACAGCAAGCAATCACTGCAGCTCAGCAAGCAGCAGTGACCACGATTGAGGAGATAGGATCAAGCCTAGAGAAGGCCGTAAAGGAAAGAAAGCCAGGTGAAGTGGAGCTACACAAGTTGATTAAAGCTCCCGAAGCTTTTAATCCAGGACCATGGCAAGAAGAGAAGAACGGCTTCAACGAGTTCAAGCAAAGGATGAGGATCTGGTTAGGTGCTCTGGATGATCGTCTTGTTAAAGTGATGGATACAGTGGAAAAGAACCTAAAGGAAGACAAGCCGGTCCCTATGAGCGATCTGACCACAGATGGAAAGGATGCTAGCAGGAAACTGTACAGTATCCTTTGTTCGTACACGAAAGGAAGACCCTATCGTGTTGTAAAGCATACTCCAGAGGAAAATGGAATGGAAGCCTATCGTCTACTGATGAAGGAATACCAGCCGGTGAACAGAGCGAGATCGCTGGAACTGTTTCACCAAATTTTGAACTATAGGTTTCATCCTACCAAAGGAATTGCTGAGAACATCCTGGAATATGAGGAACGCATTGAGCAGTATGAGAAGAGCACAGGAGAAAAGGTGCAAGAAACCCTTAAAGTTTCAACACTCATACAAGGAATGAAGCCTGAAGTCAAAAGGCATTTGCTGTTGAACCTTGATGAGAAGACCAAGTATCAGGACCTTCGCCAGTACCTAGTGAACTACGAGTCAACGGAACGTTGGACCAACTCCTTATCCCAGCAACAGCAGCAAGGAACCCCGTACAGGACCACAACAGACCTCATAGACAAAGGTGAGGACCATGGAGGTTTGGCAGCGATGGATATCAACCAAGCATATGGTAAAGGAAAGTGGTTTAGCAAAGGAGGTTACAAAGGCAAAGGTTTTGGCAAAGGTAAAGGTAAAGGCAGAGGTACTTCGGAAAGGGTTTCGGAGACAGCAAAGGCAAAGGCAAAGGTAAAGGCAGAGGCCGAGGTGGAAACTGGAAAGGTCGAGGTAGAGGTTTCAGAGGTTACAAAGGCCGAGGTCGAGGTGGATTCACAGGAAGAGGCAAAGGTTTTGGCAGCTTTGGTAACTACAAAGGCAAAGGTAAAGGAAAGGCCCAAGCAGCAACAGGAGTTTGTCACTACTGTCACAGGTATGGACATTTCGAAGCGCAGTGTAGACAGAAACAGCGTGACATGGGTTATCAAGCTAGAAATGTAAACCTCGAGAATCCAAGCGAACAGGCCAGTACCACAGGAACTTCTACTCAAGCCCCAACTTCAGTTTCCAGGAACCCTGCATCAAGCCAGCAAGGAACGCAGCCGAGCAACAAGCCAGTGATCAGGATGGTCTCCATGTATCACATGGGAGATTAAACTGTTCAGTTATCCTGAACAGTTTGAGTTGAGCGAGGATTCAGAGGAGATTGAGATTGAGTACTTCGGAAGAGTCTTGAGAGTTCAGGAAGAGAGATTTCAGGAAGAGAGTGTCCAGGAATTTTGGATAGGTGATGAAAGTGATGAAGATCAGCAACAGGAAGACGATGCTTTACAGCAGTGGTATGAACAGCAAGAACAAGCACACTATGTTCGGATGATTCAGGTAGAGAGGACCAAGGAAATTGAGGTAGTGCTTGATTCAGGAGCTGACATTTCGTTAGCACCTCTTTGGATGAAGAAATATGGAAGACGAGCGCCTGAGAAAGCTAAGGTTGTTCTCAGGGACGCGCAAGGAAGTAGAATCAAAGTTTCAGATCAAAGGATCATCAGTGTCGAGTTTGAGGATGTTTCAGGGAACAAAGTGAAGGTTGAGGAAGTCTTCTTGATTTCTTCAGTTGTGCACCCATTGCTAGCGGTAGGAAAGTTGTTGAAGCAAGGTTGGGAATTCAGGAACGGTACAGCTACAGGAACCTTCCTAGTTGAAGGAACAACTCACATCCCTGTGAACTACAACAACAACTCCTTGACAGCAAAAGCATTTGTTCGTGCAGTTAACACTCAGTCTTCACAGAAGCCAATACCCTTGCATTTGTGCAGCAACCTCAACGACATTGTAGCAGAGAACAGAGTAGGTTGGACCTCTTGGAGAGACCCTTTTCAGGTACACTACAGCCTAGGAACATCGAGTCATGTGGATGTCAATCTCATGTATCCTCCAGGAAAGTACATCTACAGAGCAGTTCTTATCAAGGACAATTATGTGTGGTATCTGTTACACCACAGTGTTATGTTTGAGGAACTGGAAGACCCAACAGGACCAATCCTTGATGGCACAAGGAACTACCAGGTGTTGACCCTTGTTTCTACCAAGGAATTTCCATTGAACCTCATAGGCACGCCCAAGGAACAACAGGACCGTTGCATGTTTGAAGAGTACACCGAGGACGTATGGTCTATCAATGATGAAGGAACAGAGGTGATACGGTATCATCATTCACCAAGGAAGTCCCTTTTCAACCCCTTAGACACCAAGGACATTCCTGTTGACCCAGCGAACCTTAAGCCGAGTAGGAAAACCTACGGTGAAGAACCAATCAACAGAGATTTCTTTGAGAACGACCAGCAGTGGATCGATGATGAGAACCAGGAATTCGGTGAAGCTTTCGATGGTCTTTGTTGGACAGGACAGAGTAGGTTCGAGCTTATCTATCCTGTAGAGGTCAAGGAAAGGAGAACGCAAAAGGAACAGAAACTTGACAGCATTCCCGAAGAAGAAGCACCCAAGGAATCGGAAGAAGTACAGGAACCGCAAGCACCAGCTCATAGGCATGAACTCGCTGGAGAACTTGTAGTACATTTCAATGGCTATGAGTACAACCAGCAGACAAGCCTGAAGACCTTGAAGGCACTTTGTACGGAACTTGGCATCTCGAAGTTTGGATCTAAACAGGAAATCCTTAGAAGGCTCAGTAGGACAATTCTTGAAGCTGAGAGACACCAGGAGTTTAGCACAGCTCAGAAGAAGTACCAAGAGTACGCGATTGCTGAACCTTTAAAGGACCAGAAAAGGCCCAAACCAGAGGAAGTAGCAGCTCACAATCTGACACATCTGCCATACGCATCTTGGTGCCCTGTTTGCGTAGCTTGCAAAGGAAAGGAGTCTCCACATCTTCGTGAGAACCCAGAGAAGGAACGATCATCGAGACCAACATTCTGTATGGACTTCTGTTTTACAGGAACGAGTCATGATGAGGCCCCAGCTGCAGTAAGCCTCGTGTGCGTGGACTCTTGGAGTAGGAACAGTGTTTGCATTCCAACTGCAACCAAAGGTAAGGACCTCATGGAGCATCTTGCCGAAGGAGTGACATACCTATCTACTCAATTGCAGTACAACTCCATCAACCTGAAGGCAGACAATGAAGGAACTATGTCAAAGCTGAAGAGCGTGATCCAGAAGCAGCGCAACGCTTTAGGATTAGGAACAGTCCTCCAAGACGCAGTTTCAGGCCAAAAGGAAACCAACGGGATGGCAGAGCGATTTATCCAGACCATTAGGAGACAAGCCTTGACACTTCTCAAAGGACTTGAGGATAATGCAGGAATCCTGATTGCTCATACTCATCCAATCTTCAGTTGGGCATTCAGGCATTCAAGTTGGATCTTGAACAGGTACCATAGACATTCAGGAATTGGCATGACGCCGTACGAGTGGATTTCAGGAAGACCATTTCAAGGACAGCTTGCAGAGTTCGGAGAGAGCTTGATGGTTTTGGTGAACAGGACAGGAACCAAGGTTGGCAAGAAAGGTGACCCTATCTGGATGAGAGGAGTATTTCTAGGAAAGTCTGACAATGATCTGTACATTACTTGGCACATGGATGGAATCAAAACCAGCAGGAGTGCTAAGAGATGTCCAGAACACTTTGATGCAAGAGCCATCAGCAGTGTAGGAATACACACTTGGGAAGTGAAGCATACTACTCTTGCTACTCGTGCAATCCCTAGAAGGAACGCCCCAGCTCCAGGTGTTGGACCACCACCTCTTGTTGATGGTGAAACAGGTAAGGAACAACAACAAGAACTTCAAGATGTACCTAGATCAGCATCTGCAGGACCGCGTGTGATCCAAGGCGGGGATCAAAGCTCCAAGCCAGGAGTTATCCCTAGGACTACATTTTTGTCAGGAAAAGCTAAGCAGCAACAAGTACTTCACAAGCGAAGAGCAGAACAAGATCTTGAGGAACTTGAAGCGCAGCTTTCAGATGAAGCAGCCTCAGACCCATCATCTTCAAGCAAGACTATATCTCAGGAACAAGTAGCAGGAAACATGTCAGAAGGCTCAGAAGAACTTCTTCCAGACAGTGCGATGCTAGATGACCCCCTTTGTCAGCTAGAGGACCACCAACACTTAGGAAACCAGAGTTTGAAGAAGTAGGAACAGGAAGTAAGATTCCAAAGCTTGAGTCGCCGACCAAAAGGTACCCACCTTTCTCAGTAGGAATGGTTTTCGAGCACAACGATGAGGAGTTACCGGAACCGGATCTGGAACCTGATGAATTTTGGCCAGATTCAGACTATGGATCTGATCAGGAAGATGACATTTTTGGGAACGAGGATTCTGGACCTCCCAGTCTTACAGATCAGGAACTCCGAGATTTGGATCGGAAAGCTATGGTGACAGAGATTGATCGCCTCATTGCCATGCAGGCAGTTCAAAGGATAGCCCTCAGTGAGATTCAGAAACAAGATGGAACAGGAACAGAGAACACTGACGATGAAGGAACAGGAACGAAGTGGCTTACAACCAAGTTCGTCTTCGATTGGCGATTCAGAGACAGGAAATGGATCAGACGAGCACGACTTGTCGCCAGGGAATTTAAATCCCAGGAACAGAGAACGGACACCTTCAGTCCGGCTACCAGTGCCTCATTGGTGAGGCTCATACCCGTGATCGGGTTGCAACAGGAACATTCCCTGTATTCCATAGATGTGAAGGACGCATTTCTTCAGGTACCGCAAAGGAACAGGACAGCGTGCGAGTTTCCAAAGGAATATATAGAGTTGTTTGGTGATGAAGATCCTGAGAGCAGGAACGAAGGATTTCTCTTGTTGAGAGTGTTACCAGGACAAAGAGATGCAGCTTTACTGTGGAGTGACCACTTTGCGAATACCCTTCAGGAACAACAGTTTAGCAGGAGTGTTGCTTGTCCGACACTTTTCAGAGAACCAAGGAACAGTATTTTGGTAGTTCATGTTGATGACATTCAAGCAGCAGGAAAGAGTAGTCATCTGGAACCAGTCTTGAACAAGATAGGAACTACTTACGAGCTCAAGGTTGAAGGCCCCTTCCTTACTGACCAGGAACGTATGGTAGGAGAGTCTCATCAGAGTATCAGATTTCTTAAAAGGAAATTTTCGTTTCACAATCATGAACTTCATATCACGAGTGACCCGAAGTATCTAGCCAAGCTCAAGGAGGAATTGAAGCTCAAGACAAAAGCCTCAAAGCCAACTCCGTGTACCCAGGAATCTCAACAGGTGGACAACACCAACAGCCTAGATCAGGAACAAGCAGCATCATTCAGGAAGTGTGTAGGAATTCTTCTGTATGTAGGACAGGACAGACCGGACCTTCAGTTTGCAGTACGAGGACTTGCATCCAAGATGTCAGGACCTACACATCAAGCCTGGAAGCAGCTTACTCACCTAGTGCAGTACATGTCTAGGACCGAAGGATATCATCTTGTGTACAGGAAGACACCGAGAGGCATTTCGAACCTCCACGAGAGCATCAGGAATGGTTCATTCGACTTCAGCACAGTCGCAGAGAAGCAGGAACATTTATTGGAAGTCTTCAGTGACAGCGATTGGGCAGGTAGCAAAGTTACCAGGAAGTCTACATCTTCAGGAACCGTGTTTCTTGATGGACAGGTAATCTACACATTTTCGAGGAGCCAGAAGAGTGTAGCCCTGAGTTCAGGTGAAGCAGAGTACTATGCAGGAGCATCAGCAGCATCTGATAGTATTTTGTTGAAGGAAGCAGTTGAGTTCTTGACAGGAAGAAAGTGCAAGGTGAACCTGTATCTGGATTCATCAGCAGCCAGAGGAATCATTACCAGACAAGGTGTAGGAAGAGTGAAGCATTTGCAGATCAGGACCCTTTTCTTGCAGGAACTTCACAAGCAAGGAATTTTGAGCGTTCACCCTGTAGGAACCAAAGAGAACACTGCCGACATAGGAACAAAACCCTTATCAGCGAAACGGATCAAGCTTCTTTTGCATTGGCTAGGATTCCAAGATGAGAACAATGACCGTGTAGGTAGAGAAGAACTCCAGGAACATCGAAGCAAGGAACAAGCCAGAGCCAGTGTAAGGATGATTAAGTCCAAAGGGAACTTCGCTTTTGCAGCTTTACTGTTTTCGGCTATTTCAGGAATTTCGGAAGGCTTGGTTTCAGGAAAAGGTTCAGGAACAGTGCAATCACGTCTAGGAACAGTCATGTTTCAGGACCGCGTGTGCACTGACATGAGTGCAGTTGCATTAGGACAGGACCGCGTGAGAGCTGACACGAGTGCATGCGCATTAGGAGTAGGAACAGTCTGTGAAGCATGTATGCAGGAACAGTTTGTGCATCCGCAGATGTTCTCCTACTTCAAGGAACTAGGCCACCTAGTCCAGGAACTCTGTGAGAGCCATATCCCGGAAAGGAACGTAGAAGGACCAGAAGAAGAAGAAAGTGGAAAGGAAAGTGAAGAAGGAAAAGAGATGGCACAAGCCGTGAAGGAACTTAAGGAGATCATGGCGAAGCAGAACGAGTGTATGCAGGAACTGAAGCAAGACATAGCAGGAATGAAAGAACCGGTGCTTCAGCAAAGCCAGTTGACAGCATTGGCGATAAAGGAACTGACCAAGGAAGTTAGGGACCTCCAGGCCAACTTCAAGGAACTTCAAGGAAGATGGGATGAGTTCATAGAAGAGGAAGAAAAGGCAAGAGAAGAGTACGCAAAGTACTTTGAAGAGCAGGAAAAGCTAAAGGAAGAGTTCAGACAGGAACGTGACCGTTTTCTGGAAAAGGAACTGAGGATGGAAGGCCACCATGGACCAAGAACTTCTACGTCACCTACAAGGAAAGAAGTAGAAGAAGAGGACATCAGCCAGTACAATGACCGCGGCTACTTCGACAGGAAGCAGGAAGAAGAGGAAGCCGAGGAAGCACTAGAGGAGAACGAGAACGAGTACTACACACAGTCCTACGAGATCTCAGAGGAAGAAGCAGGAGAAGCATGGACAGAGGAACCAGAGGCAACAGAAGAAACAGGACCAAAGGAGCCAAATGAGGAAGAAGAAGAAATAAATCCAAAGAAGAAGCAGACACAGGAAGAGTACGAAGAGGAAAGGAAGAAACTCTTGGCAAAGGCAAGGGCAGACATTGCCCAGAAGGAAGCAAAGAGAAAGGAACAGGAAAAAGGTTTCAAGCCACCTGTGGACAAGAGCCAGGAATACAAGTACTACACCGAAGGAGGCCATATCTACAGGCAAAGCCACAAAACAGGAGAGAAGACTTGGTGGAACTACGACTACAAGTACAAGCACCAGAAAGGAAAAGGAAAGGAAGCCTACGAGAAGGCAGGGAAGGGAAGCCGACCACACCAGCCCTTCCAGCCACGAGATGAAGAGGACAAAGCATACTGGGCGAGCATGGATGAGGAAGTGAAAAGAAAGAAGAAGGAGAGAGATGAGAAGAAGGCAAAGGAAGAAGAAGAGGAAAGGAAGGCCAAAGAGGATCGAGAAAGGATTGAGAAGGAAGCAGAGGAGTTTACCAAGAAAGCAGAAGCAGAAGCAGCGGAGAAGGAAAGGCAGAGGAAAGAAGCAGCAGCGGCAGAAGTAGAATACAAGAAGAAGAAAGCAGAAGAGGAAGAGAAGAATAAGGCAGCAGAAGCAGAAGAGGAAGAGAAGAAGAAGAAGGCAGCAGCAGAGGAAGCAGAGAAGAAGGCAAGGGAGAAGGAAGCAAAGAAGAAGGAAAAGGAAAGGATCGAAGAGCTTGAGAGACAGCTTGCCGAGCTAAAAGGAGGAAAGAAGGAAGAAGCAAGCAGCAGCAGCAGCAAAGACAAAGAAGGAAAGAAGGAAGAAGCAAGCAGCAGCAGCAAAGACGACCCTGAGGAAACCAACATAGGACCAATGGAGGTAAAGGACTTTGTCAGAGAAAAGGACCCCAGCGATGAGACAGACAAGAACTATTACGCCGTCTACCCCTACGATGGGAACGACTACCAGTGGAAGTGGAACAGCGAAAACCACCATTGGTACTTTTTCGACTTGACCGAGCGCCGTTGGTACAAGCAGGAAGGAATAGACCCAAAAGGGAAGGACACTTGCTTGATGCAAGAGCAGAAGTGGCGCAACTTTAAAGGAAAAGGAAAAGGAAAGAAAGGAAAGAAGAGCAAAGATGATGATGATGAAGAGATGGCCAAGCACTCACCCGAGTACTACGACATCGAAGCAGGAAAGCAAAAGGAGAAGCAAGAGCCAGAAAGCACCAAGGACACGAATTTCCAGTAGAGTTCAAAGAAGCAGGAAAGCAGAAGTGAGAAGAGGATCAAAGGTCTTGAAGGCAAAGGACCTGTGAGTCTGAAGCCAGTTTTCAGGACAGCTGAAAGCTGTAGCAGAAGGAACAGGATGGTGTATCCGTCCGACCTTCACAGTAGCAGCCTAGTTGTTTTGCGTGCTAAAGGACGACGATCCAAGGAACAACTCACTTACACTTGTTTTGTCTTTGTGACTTGTAAAGGAATCTTGTACAGTAACAGCGACCTTGGAGAGGAACGCGAGTGGACAACCATATGTCTGCGAAGTTGACAAAGGAACTTGTTTGCAGTTTGTTTTGGCAGGGAAAGAGTTTGGAAACGAGCTCTGACTTAGGAAAGTCATTCCCTAGTTTCGAAGGCGGGGTGTTAAACATTACTGCCAAGTAGGAACCCAGTGTTTCCACACAGCTGAAACGTAAAGGAGCAGCTTGAGCCGTGCTTTCGCCACTAGGCTCAAGGACCCAGACACACCAGTGCGGTGACAGGAAAAGTGAGCCGCAGTCCCGCTCGAGTCTTTGATGACTCGACTGACTCCGAGCACCGCTCGCTTGGAGAAATCGTGCGGGGGCAAGCCTCCGGCTCCCTTGCCTGGACCGAAGGGCAAGTTCGGGGCTACCTTGCCCGGAGCAGTGGTGCTTTATCGCCCTTCTGCAAGCAAGAAGGAGCTCATCCTGGGGCGCGTGACGCAAAAACCTGCAAGAATCCAAGGCGATGGTGGTGATGCCGTACGCCGGGTTTGGAGCTCTACGTGAGTGCGGTGGTCTCCGGGCCATCTCTCCCCGCTCAGACCGTGTCCTACAAGAGCCTCATTCATGGGGCCGATTAATGGCACTCTTCCTTCCCGCACCTGAGGAGGTGATCGACCCTGACGCGGATTTGTCGGAGCCTGTGCTTGACCAGGATAGCACGTTAGCCGCTTCTGATGGAGCGTGGGCACCACCTGTTTCGAAGGTGCCCTATGTAGCTCGTTGGACTTCGACGCATGCCCCGAGCGACGCAGCCGCCGCTAAATGGCAAGCTTTTGCCCAAAGGCGGTGCTTCACAGAAGCGCACATGCCAGATGGCTGCTTTGTTCCCATGGAAGGCAAGCTTAGTGGCAATGTCCGTCGTGATGCGGATTACGCCACGAGAATGAAGCTGCCTCCTCCGGGCCGGTGCCAAGGTGACGGAGGAGCATCGAACGGAGTATCCGGACCTCGCGATGAGGAGATCCGCGCTATTGGCGCGTGATTTTCGAGAAGAGCGAGGCCCTCTGGATCAAAGACACTCCGCAAACAGTGGTGCGTGGGTTCCTGCGCGACGTGGTCACCAAGGGTGAGCCTGTGTCCCAGGCCCGGCTTATCCGTGGCGGTGAACACGCAGAATGGCTGGAAGCCGAGATTGCCAAAGCGTACCGCCGGCGTTGCGGTGGTAGCAGAGGAAGTGGCCTTTGCCACTTCCTCTACGATCCGTTTGGGTACCGCGGCCATTGCCGCGGTAATCCTTACAGCCGCTGCGGCGACTTTGTGCAGCGTGCGGCGGTGGATCCCCACCGCCAAAGCCCGCTTGCAGCTTTCTGGATTTAATCCGGAGGGCAACAGTGCGCTGCTGATTCCACCGCCGGCTGACGACTGGAGGCCGGACCGGAAGACTCCAGGGTTTCTGGTGGAGTTGGGGGTCAGGTTGTCCGATTTGAAGCGAGAGGAGAGAAAGGAGGGTGTAGCTTACCTTAGATCCCTTTTGGATCAAGCCGAGCACGAACATCGTGCTGTTCGTGCTCATGGGCTCAACGCTGCCGGCCGTGCTATATTGCATCAAGAATGCGCCTCACGCAAGTTGCAGCGTCAGACGTCGGACGATAAGACGTACATGCTCTTCTGGCGCGCGTCGCGGGTCGATGGACCGTCGAGTCCCGGAGCTAACGCTTCGAGAGAGCCTCTAGAGACTCAGTTGCACTCCAGCCGAAGCGCCCCGGAATTGCCTGTGGCAATCAAGCGGGCTGATGAATCTCTTTCGGGAGCGACTCTTGCCAATAAAAGTATGCGTTCTACCGCATCCGGCGGAGCCGAATTCGAATTGGCACTGCTTCGGCGCGAGTGTGACAGTTTCAGGAGATCTTTAGACGCCGCAACTCGGCGTGAGCAGGGTTTAGCCACCCAGCTCCGGGCTCATCGTGTGGTCCAGGTTCAAAGTCAGGATGCACCGTCCTCGTCTAGACGCCGCGCCTCAGGCGCGAGGTGGAGAGGTGCAGGTGCACCGTAGGCGACACCTCCTGTGTCGAGCTTTTGCTCACCGCCTTTACCTACGACGATCCAGAGCTGACTGCTGCCGCAACCGCTGCTAAGCAGCGAGGGGCCAAGTTCGATTGCTTATCGACCTGCAAAAGGCTCACGCATGCAACGATTCTGGAAGGATCTTGCAGCAGCTTTTGGATGCGAAGGTCGAGGTCCGCACGACGTGCAGTAGGGCGCTCTCCGAGGTGTACGGGGGTAGCTTCCGAGGCTTCAAGGGAGCACTCCATGCAAAAAACCGCGCTCGTCCGAAGCCGAGCTTCGAGGGCCGCGGGTGATCGGGTGCTTCTCTTTGTGGGGTCGCATAACTTCACCAAGGCGTCCCGCGCTAATCGCGAATTCGTGACCGAACTGCAGTTGCCAGCAGGCGACACGCGAGTAGCCGCATACCGTTCCTGGTATGAGGGACTTTGGACCTCTTCCAAGGAGATCCAGGCGGAGGCCGGTCCAGGCCCAAGCAGACGATTCCGGGGGAAGCAAGCCCCGCGTATCTCCGCGCCGAGCGCTTCGCCGACGACGTGAGTAGTTGGGACTGGTAGAGCGTGGATTTGGGGCTGCTGAAAGGGCGGTCTGCTGTAGCAGTATAAGATCCACGCAGTCTGTTTCGCCAGTCGCCGTTGCAGTTCAAGCCCACCTCGCGGTGAGGTGTGTCCGTTAGTTTAGCAACGCTATAGCGCCATACCAATAAGGTAG